CGGAAGAGTAAAAGTGAGGAAATTCATGGTTTGAGATAAAGACAGTCTAATAAGTAAAGCAAAAGCTGCACATGCAAGCAAAGCAAAAAAAGGAATTCAGTCACCACTCCCTATGAGCAGGCAGGTGTTCGGCCATCTCCAGGGAAGCAGGGCTCCGTCATGCGTAATGGTTTCTTGGGAAGATAGATGCCATCACTCTGAACGTCTCTCCACCCCTTCCTCCTTCTTCGTCCCAGCTTTATATACTGAGCATGATGTTATATGGTATGGAATATCTCTTTGGCCAGCCTGGGTCAGCTGTCCCGGCTGCGTCCCCTCCCAACTTCCCGTGCACCCCCAGCCTTCTTGAGAAGCTGGACTGTCCTTGACTACTTAGCAACAACTGAAAACATCAGCAATGTTATCAACATTTTCTCATCCCAAATCCAAAACATAGCCTCACACTGGCTTCTGTGAAGAAAATTAACTCTACCTTGGTTGAAACCAGGAAAAGAGCTTAGAATAATGGAAAAGTTTTTGTTCCTAACTTAATTATTTCTTTAAAAAAAAAACCCCTGAGTTTGAGAAAGTATGAGTTACATCAAAGGAACGAATCCCACAATCCAACTGAATGTTAGATTTCTGTCATGAGTACATGTTGTATTCCTTGCTACATTTATGCCTTTTGGAAATAGGCCTTCTAAAAGTTAAGAAGTTGTTCTGGAATAGCAACAGCAACAGCAAAGGGGAGACTAATCTCATCAAAACCCCCCCAAGCAATCTCTGCTTGCTAGAACAGAGCAAGAAGTGTTAACCTGAGTGTGTTTGATATTCCATGTGGAAGATCTTTGCAAAATTTCATAGGGGATCTAAGGTTTCTAGTTTTTTTAAGCAGAAGTGTAGGATCTATAGTCTAAATGGGATTTAAAGAGAAATTTGAAATTTTTAGATGGGTCAAATTTAGAAAAAAAAATCAAACTGACAGTGTCCCTTTAATTAGAACACACATTGTGAAATGCTACTTTGTAGGGATTAATTATAAATATTTAATAAGATCTGGAAGTTCACCAAGCACTCTTGCAAGACTTATGCTACCTTGTGAAAACAAACCAAATACATTTTAATGATGTATCTGCTTTATCAGATATTTTCTGTCAATGTTAATGGGTTGTTCCAGTGAGTGTCACATTTTTGATTTGGCACATATGCATTGTAACTATAATTGAAATGCTTGAATTAACTGTATTCATTCTGAATAGAATAAGGATGATGTTTAATTTTCCTCATTCTTTAATTACCATGTCAATATCTACTAAGTATGACATAAAATAGAAGTAGTAACAAAATAGAATTAATATTTGCAAATATATCACTAACTACTTGAATTTTATCAAGGATTTACATGAAATCTGAGGTTTTGATTTTTTGTAAGGCAAACACTTAAAAGCAAAACCAAACTCCATCCTGCTTTTTGAATATTGTTGGCATTGATAAAACTCTGTCTTACAGACTTATACCTATGCTTCCCAGGGTCCCACTCCAGTAAATTAGGAATTTATTTTGGATTCAATTAAGCATTTGATGAAGGAACTTTCCAAACATAAACTTTTTTGAGGGGGACAGGGCAAATGTTTTTGAGAAGAAATTGCACTGTCAGGAAACAGTCATCTTTAACTTCTGTCCTGTGCTAGCAGTGAGTAAGTCACTACAACTGAGCGGGTATAAGAAGGTTTTTGGGATTTTTTTTTTTTTCAGTATCTTGGACCAGCTATCAGAGATACATTGACAAGCTCTGAACACATGGCAGAGTATGTCCTCACATTTACACTTAATACAACGAAAAATTAGCATCTTGAATTCATCTGGCATATACATCTGGATAGCTGCTGTGCAGCAAAGCAATACCAGAAACTAAAAATTTGCATAATTTATTGCAAACGGAATTCTTAGTTCTTTGCATTGCCATGTTGTGAAATTTGACATACCAAATGGAATTTCTTTTTTTGTTTTTCTGAGTTCTGTTTTGATGAAGAAATATGTTGCTGTGAAATTTGAGATAATGGGAAAAAGGGAAGCTTAAGAATGACTTGCAGATGTTGAGGGGCCAGATTAGGAAGAAGAGGAAACAAATCCTCACAGAGCTTGTCTCATCTTATAAAAAAAATGTTTTGCTTCTTCATTTACAAATTGTTGTGTAAATGACTTGTGTCCTGCTTTGGGACATAGCTCTGCCTTTTACAAATGGAAACTGAGGCACCAAAAGCAGAGTCCAGATTTTGGTAATATTTATATGCAAAGACTAATTTACAGCCATGAATAACAGTATGTTCAAAAACTTTCCATTATGTCACATGAAAAACTGGGAACAGCCCCTAAAAAAAACCAAGGCCTTACTTGACAACCTCAGAGCCTCCTTTAAATTGGTCATACAGAACTTCATAGAGAAAGGTAATGGCAAAATATACAGGAATAATTGTAGACATAATGGAAAATAGAATTTAAAAATAAATAAAGCAAGTCTGATAAATGCTTGAGAGGGTATTAATGGAAGTGAGTGTGTGTCTGGATACAGTAGAGGCTTCAGGTCTTCACAGTTTTCTGGGCAAATAATTAATGGTCTTAAACATCTGCTGTATGAAAACTGGATATGGCATTGTTGATTTACCACGAATTAGATAAATAAGGCGCTTTATGGTGTTACAGAAGAATCTATCTAAACCTTAGTTAAAAGTAAATCTGTATCAACATAAATCTGTATCATGTTAGATGTTGGAATTAATGATACATACTACCTGGGGAGCTCTAAATATTAACTATAGTAAGTGGTCACTCAATAACAAAGACTTCCAGCTTGCAGAAGCAAGCAAACTAGCAAAAAATGCACTTTTTGGTAAGCTCTGTGCCATAATTTGTGTATCCAGAGGATAGGCCTGGGAGAAAGCTGGTTATATCAGAATGAAAAAAGGAAATCAAGCAGACAGATGGTTGACTGAAGTTTTAGAAAACAGCAAGCAGAAAGACCCCTAGTCCAGTAGTCTTACATGCCTGAAAATTTTGAATAACTTTTGATGTGTCTGTGGAAGTTATGGGTTTGTCCATGAATCCGTCCCTGGAAAACTGGTGTAATTTCACAGTTCAAAGATCCCAGCTTCTAAAATAATTTGTGTACAAGCATTGCTGAAATACGGGAGGAACTTGTTGCAGTCTCAGATACCTAGTGATTTGTTGCACAGATATCTGTGCAATGTGAAATGCTGAAGGAATTGTGAAGTGGTCATTATCCCTTATACATTTTGATCTGACGTTTGTAAGTTTTACTTAAGAGGCAGGCAGATGGCAACTAGCATTATGGTTGTCATTGTTACCTCTCAGAAATTAAGGCTGTTCCAGTCTGAAAATGATTTTCAGGGGTTTATCTATGGTGCAGGATATTTATTTCATTTAATGTGAAAGAAAACTGAGACACAACTGGGCTGGTGTTGGAAGTAGCTCCTGTAAATCATAGCACCATATGTATTTATTGAATTTCTATG